CCCCTTAAAGACTACCACTCTGAAGAACAGAGGTTCATACAGGTGCTTTCCATCAGGTATTGAAAACACCTGTGGATGTCACCGAGCAGCAATCAAGCATAATAAGCACCAATTAGGCAGCTTTAAAATGACTGTGATACTCAGCTCCTTCTAGACATTTACTGGTGTGGTTACAAACATGGTGAAGGCAAGAGAATGGTCCAGGAAGACAAGAGAAGAGGTGATTTCTCTTCACAGGAAGGGCAATGGCTATAAGAAGATTGCAAAGATGTTAAACATACCAAGAGACACCTTAGGAAGCATCATTCGCAAATTCAAGGCAAAGGGCACTGTTGAAACGCTACCTGGTCGTGGCAGAAAGAAGATGCTGACTTCGACTGCTGTGCGCTACCTGAAGCGTAGAGTGGAGAGAAGTCCCCGTGTGACTGCTGAGGAACTGAGAAAAGATTTGTCAGATGTGGGTACAGAAGTTTCAGCCCAGACAATAAGACGCACACTGCGTAATGAAGGCCTCCGTGCCAGAACTCCCAGGCGTACCCCCTTGCTGTCTCCAAAGAATAAGAAGAGTCGACTGCAGTATGCCAAAAGCCATGTGGACAAACCACAAAAGTTGTGGGATAGTGTTCTGTGGACTGATGAAACAAAATTAGAACTGTTTGGGCCCATGGATCAACGCTATGTTTGGAGGAGGAAGAACAAGGCCTATGATGAAAAGAACACCTTGCCTACTGTGAAGCATGGTGGAGGGTCAATCATGCTTTGGGGCTGTTTTGCTTCTGCAGGTACAGGGAAGCTTCAGCGTGTGCAAGGTACCATGAATTCTCTTCAGTACCAGGAGATATTGGATGGAAACGTGATGCAGTCCGTCACACACCTGAGGCTTGGGAGACGTTGGACCTTTCAACAGGACAATGATCCCAAGCATACCTCCAAGTCCACTAGAGCATGGTTGCAGAGGAAAGGCTGGAACATTTTGGAGTGGCCATCGCAGTCACCAGACTTAAATCCGATTGAGAACCTCTGGTGGGACTTAAAGAAAGCAGTTGCAGTGCGCAAGCCTAAGAATGTGACTGAACTGGAGGCCTTTGCCCATGAAGAATGGGCGAAGATACCCGTAGATCGCTGCAAGACACTTGTGTCAAGCTATGCTTCACGTTTAAAAGCTGTTATAACTGTAAAAGGATGCTGTACTAAGTACTAAGATTGAATGTCACTTGGGGGTTGAATAAAACTGATAATGCTGTGAGCACAGAAAAGACATTTGTGGTTATTTCATTATAACTGTTATGTTATATTTGTCTGACCTACAAGTGCCTCTTTAATGTAAATGTAAGCAAGATGACTGAATGATCAAAAGCAATGTCAAACTGGCCAAAACACTCAATTTCAGTGGGGGTTGAATAATTTTGGCCACAACTGTATATATATAAATTTTACAGTATCTCACAGAAGTGAGTACACCCCTCATATTTTTGTAAATATTTTATTATATCTTTTCATGTGACAACACTGAAGAAATGACACTTTGCTACAAATTAAAGTAGTGACTGTACAGCGTGTATAACAGTGTAAATTTGTTGTCCCCTCAAAATAACTCAACACACAGCCATTAATGTCTAAACTGCTGGCAACAAAAGTGAGTACATCCCTTTTGTGAAAATGTCCAAATTGGGCCCAAAGTCTCAATATTTTGTGTGGCCACCATTATTTTCCAGCACTGCCTTAACCCCTTGGGCATGGCGTTCACCAGAGCTTCACAGGTTTGCCACTGGAGTTCTCTTCCACTCCTCCATTACGACATCACGGAGCTGGTGGATGTTAGAGACCTTGCTCTCCTCCACCTTCTGTTTAAGGATGCCCCACAGGTGCTCAATAGGGTTTAGGTCTGGACACATGCTTGGCCAGTCCATCACCTTTACCCTCAGCTTCTGTAGCATATTTTTGTATATTTATATGATTGCCCTGTTGACCAGATGGGCCCAGTTTGCGTTTTTTTTTTTTTTTTTTTTTTTCCATTATAAAACAAAAAAATGTAGGTTAACCAACAACTGTAATGGTACAGTTCACATGAGTGACACAAGAAAAGTTAACAGAAACACAGATTAGACAATTACAACAAAACCGATTCGTAAGCATAGAAGAGGTAATGAGAGTGAGAGGGGTACTCAAACTATGGGGGTGGGAAGAGGTTTGGAGCATCAATTTCCTTTGGATCCGTTCAGGTAGATTGTCTAGTCCAGGGGTCTCCAAACTTTCCAAGCAAGGGGTCAGTTTATTGTCCTTCAGGTTTTAGGGGGGCTGGAATATGGCCATTGGGAGTAGAAAATGCCCCAGTATCAGTGGTTTTGAGGGAGAGGGAAATAGTGCTCCATTGTTGATATCAATGAAATTAATATTGCCCCATTGATGGTGTCAGTAATAGAAATGGTGCCCCATCATTGGTGTCAGTTGGTGAAATAGTGCTCCAAGGGCCAGATAAGGGCAAGCAAAGGGCCACATCTGGCCCCGGGCTGAGTTTGGAGACCGCTGGTCTAGTCCAATGTCATAAGCAGACATTATTCATGTGGCTGATCCTCCCCAATAGATTATATAACCCATCTTAATCTCTGCAAGGTGCTTGTGGACCATCTAGTGTAAATGTTGACTAAGGAGGAGCGCCTCAAGATTTATTCTAAATGGTGGTGGTATTGTTTTTAGGACATGCGTGAGAAAACATATTATTGATTCCTGAAGGTGGTATTTTAAAAGGTTTTTACCCAGGTAAGGGGAAGTTACCCACTTCAGCCCTTGTGACATACCGTTGCATCGTGAGGTTGAAATGGGTATACCGGGATGATGCTTGCAGTTGCAGGCATCATCCCGATATTGTTTGATGCTCTTTCATATAAAAGCAATCCTAGTGGCTAATTGCTTTTACAGGTAATGAAAGGGGCCCCCACCTCCTGCACCCTCCAGTGCCTCGCTAGCCTCTCTCATCCAACAGTGGAGCGCAGGGCTGAAGCTAGCAGTTCTGCCGGCTTACCATTGATCGGGGACCAGATCTTTTATATGTCTCTATGGTATAAAAGACTGGAAATGATGAGTATTTTGTCACTTCTGGTTTCTCCAGCATGTTAACAAGCCATTTTTGGCTTGGGAAAGCATCTGTTCAAATCGGTCTCAGTTTGATCAGATGGTTTTAAGGGCAGAGGAGAGATCTGGGGTTTAATAGACCCCAGATCTCCGTAAAGAGGACCTGTTACTGAGCATGCTATCACAATGAATGTTGTTCATCCCTTATGTTAGCAATAAAAGTGCTAAAAAAAAAAAAAAGTTTAAAGGCAGTGTAAAAAGATATAAAAAAATTCAAATATAATTAATAATCACAATAATTTTTTTAAAGTTCCTACCGTGCTAGTGGGCAAAGTTGAACATACGTCGGTCCTGCACTCATACGTAAACGATGATTGTATCACACGTGAGGAATTGCAGCGAACATCAGAGCAAGAGCAATAATTCTAGCAAAAGACCTGCTGTCTAATTCTAAACTAGTAACCTGTAAATGCTTTTAAGGCATGGTCTATGGGGATTTTTAAGTATCATAGTTTGTTGCCATTCCATGAACGTGCGTAATTTTAAAGCGTGACATGTTGGGTATCTCTTTACTCAGCATAACATCATCTTTTATATTTTGCAAAACAATTGGGTATAAGATTGTGTTTTGTGCATTCAAATTCATTAAAGTGTATTTTGTTTTTAAAAAAAAATTGCATTTGAAAAACTGCTGTGCAAATAGTGTGTGACATAAAAAATTGCAACACCCACCATTTTAATCTCTAGGGCAGTGATGGCGAACCTTTTTGAGCCCGAGTGCCCAAACTGCAACCCAAAACCAACTTATTTCTTTCAAAGTGCCAACACTGCAATGAAACCTGAATATCGAGCTTTTGGTTTAGAAAAAACAACTCGTACAGTAGTGCAAACTAATTAACAGTACAGGGATGACCAGAGACTGCGGACACAGTACAGGGATGACCAGAGACTGCGGACACAGTACAGGAGATGACCAGAGACTGCGGACAGTACAGGGATGACCAGAGACTGCGGACAGTACAGGGATGACCAGAGACTGCGGACACAGTACAGGAGATGACCAGAGACTGCGGACAGTACAGGAGATGACCAGAGACTGCGGACAGTACAGGAGATGACCAGAGACTGCGGACAGTACAGGAGATGACCAGAGACTGCGGACAGTACAGGAGATGACCAGAGACTGCGGACAGTACAGGAGATGACCAGAGACTGCGGACAGTACAGGAGATGACCAGAGACTGCGGACAGTACAGGAGATGACCAGAGACTGCGGACAGTACAGGAGATGACCAGAGACTGCGGACAGTACAGGAGATGACCAGAGACTGCGGACACAGTACAGGGATGACCAGAGACTGCGGACACAGTACAGGGATGACCAGAGACTGCGGACACAGTACAGGGATGACCAGAGACTGCGGACACAGTACAGGGATGACCAGAGACTGCGGACACAGTACAGGGATGACCAGAGACTGCGGACACAGTACAGGGATGACCAGAGACTGCGGACACAGTACAGGGATGACCAGAGACTGCGGACACAGTACAGGGATGACCAGAGACTGCGGACACAGTACAGGGATGACCAGAGACTGCGGACACAGTACAGGGATGACCAGAGACTGCGGACACAGTACAGGGATGACCAGAGACTGCGGACACAGTACAGGGATGACCAGAGACTGCGGACACAGTACAGGGATGACCAGAGACTGCGGACACAGTACAGGGATGACCAGAGACTGCGGACACAGTACAGGGATGACCAGAGACTGCGGACACAGTACAGGGATGACCAGAGACTGCGGACACAGTACAGGGATGACCAGAGACTGCGGACACAGTACAGGGATGACCAGAGACTGCGGACACAGTACAGGGAAGACCAGAGACTGCGGACACAGTACAGGGATGACCAGAGACTGCGGACACAGTACAGGGATGACCAGAGACTGCGGACACAGTACAGGGATGACCAGAGACTGCGGACACAGTACAGGGATGACCAGAGACTGCGGACACAGTACAGGGATGACCAGAGACTGCGGACACAGTACAGGGATGACCAGAGACTGCGGACACAGTACAGGGATGACCAGAGACTGCGGACACAGTACAGGGATGACCAGAGACTGCGGACACAGTACAGGGGATGACCAGAGACTGCGGGGACACAGTACAGGGATGACCAGAGACTGCGGACACAGTACAGGGATGACCAGTGTCCGCAGTCTCTGGTCATCTCCTGTACTGTGTCCGCAGTCTCTGGTCATCTCCTGTACTGTGTCCGCAGTCTCTGGTCATCTCCTGTACTGTGTCCGCAGTCTCTGGTCATCTCCTGTACTGTGTCCGCAGTCTCTGGTCATCTCCTGTACTGTGTCCGCAGTCTCTGGTCATCTCCTGTACTGTGTCCGCAGTCTCTGGTCATCCCCTGTGCTGTGTCCGCAGTCTCTGGTCATCCCCTGTGCTGTCCGCAGTCTCTGGTCATCCCCTGTGCTGTCCGCAGTCTCTGGTCATCCCCTGTGCTGTCCGCAGTCTCTGGTCTCTGGTCATCCCCTGTGCTGTCCGCAGTCTCTGGTCATCCCCTGTGCTGTCCGCAGTCTCTGGTCATCCCCTGTACTGTGTCTGCAGTCTCTGGTCATCCCCTGTACTGTGTCTGCAGTCTCTGGTCATCTCCTGTACTGTGTCTGCAGTCTCTGGTCATCTCCTGTACTATGTCTGCAGTCCATTAGTTCAGACTTTTTTTTCCCTGTTTTCTGCCTCTAAAACCTAGGTGCGTCTTATGGTCAGGTGCGTCTTATGGAGCGAAAAATACGGTATATTTCGACACAGGCACAATTTTTTTTTTTCTTCCAGGTATTTACCAAAACATATTCAAGCTATAGTTATATAATGGATATGGGATGAAAGTTCACACTCTCTGGTTTAATTTGAGGGTATGTACATCCGAACTAAAGGAAGGGTCTAGGAATTATAGCTCTTAAGAGTAGCCATCCCCCCCTTTTTCAAGGGACCAAAAGTAATTGGACAAATGAATCAAAAGCTGTTTCATAGCCAGGTGTGGGCTACTCCTTCATTATTTCTTCATCAATTAAGCAGGTAAAAGGTCTGGAGTTGAAGTGTGGTATTTGCATTTGAAATCTATTGCTGTGAACCTAAATCATGCGTTCAAAGGAGCTGTCCATGCAAGTGAATCCATCAGAGAGATAGCAGCAACATTAGGAGTGGCCAAATCAACAGTTTGGTACATTCTGAGGAAACAACGCACTGGTGAGCTCTGCAACATAAAAATGCATGGACGCTCATGGAACACAACAGTGGTGGATGATCGCAGGATCCTCTTTATGGTAACGGAAAACCCATTCACAACATCCAGACAAGTGAAGGACGCTCTTCAGGAGGTGGGCGTATCATTGTCAAAGTCTACAATCATGAGAAGACTTCACAAGAGCAAATACAGAGGGTTCACCACAAGATGCAAACCATTCATAAGCCTGAAGAATAGAAAATCCAGATTAGACTTTGACGAAAAAAATCTAAAAAAGCCAGACCAGTTCCGGAAAAGCATTCTTTGTACGGATGAATCTAAGATTAATCTGTACCAGAATGACAGAAATAAAGTGTGGATAAGGCTTGGAACAGCTCATGATCCAAAGCACACAATGTCATCTGTAAAACATGGTGGCAGTGTGATCGCATGGGTATGCATGACTTTCAGTGGCACTGGGTCATTAGTGTTTATTGATGATGTGACAGAAGCAGCCGGAATAATTGTGCAGTGTTTAGAGATATAATGGCGGCGCTTCACCGTGCAAATGGTCAATGATCCAAAACACACTGCAAAAGCAATCCAGGAGCTTTTGAAGGGAAAGACGTGGAATATTCTGCAATGGCTGAGTCAATCACCTGATCTCAACCCAATTGAGCATGCATTTCACTTGCCGAAAGGCAAAACTAAAGGCAGAAACAAGCAAAGAATAACTGAAGACAGCTGCAGTTAGAGCCTGGCAAAGCATCAGAAAGGAGGAAACCCAGTCTTTGGTAATGTCCATGGGTTCCAAACTTCAGGCAGTCATTGCCAGTAAAGCATTCTCAACAAAATATTAAAAATGAACATTTTATTTATGATTATATTCATTTGTCCAATTGCATTTGAGCCCCTGAAAATGGAGGGACTGTGTATAAAATTGGTTGCAGTTTTTAAAATTTGTACTTGATATTTATGTCCAACTTCTTGAATTAAAGTTGAAAGTCTGCACTTCAAATTCATTTGGCTTGTTTCATTTTAATTTATTGTGGTAGAATACAGAGCCAAAAGTATGAAAATTGTGCCTGTGTCCAAATATATATATATGGACGTGTGTGTGTATACAGGTGAAGCTCAAAAAATTAGAATATCGTGCAAAAGTTAATTTATTTCAGTAATTCAACTTAAAAGGTGAAACTAATATATGAGACTCATTACATGCAAAGCAAGATAGTGCAAGCCGTGATTTGTCATAATTGTGACGATTATGGCTTACAGCTCATGAAAACCCCAAATCCACAATCTCAGAAAATTAGAATATTGTGAAAAGGTGCGATATTCTAGGCTCAAAGTGTCCCACTCTAATCGGCTAATTAACCCATAACACCTGCAAAGGGTTCCTGAGCCTTTAAATGGTCTCTCAGTCTGGTTCAGTAGGAATCGCAATCATGGGAAAGACTGCTGACCTAACAGTTGTGCAGAAAACAATCATTAACACCCTCCATAAGGAGGGAAAGCCTCAAAAGGTAATTGCAAAAGAAGTTGGATGTTCCCAAAGTGCTGTATCAAAGCACATTAATAGAAAGTTATGTGGAAGGAAAAAGTGTGGAAGAAAAAGGTGCACAAGCAGCAGCAGCCGTAGCCTGGAGAGGATTGTCAGGAAAAGGCCATTCAAAAGTGTTGGGGGGCTTTCACAAGGAGTGGACTGAGGCTGGAGTCAGTGCATCAAGAGCCACCACACACAGACGGATCCTGGACATGTGCTTCAAATGTCGTATTCCTCTTGTCAAGCCACTCCTGAGCAGCAATCAACGTCAGAAGCGACTTACCTGGGCTAAAGAAAAACAGACCTGGCCTGTTGCTCAGTGGTCCAAAGTCCTCTTTTCTGATGAGAGCAACGTTTGCATCTCATTTGGAAACCAAGGACCCAGAGTATGGAGAAAGAGAATGGAGAGGCACACACTGCAAGATGCTTAAAGTCCAGTGTGAAGTTTCCACAGTCTGTGTTGATTTGGGGAGCCATGTCATCTGCTGGTGCTGGTCCACTGTGCTTCATTAAGTCCAGGGTCAACGCAGCCGTTTACCAGGAGATTTTGGAGCACTTCATGCTTCCTTCCGCAGATGAGCTTTATGGGGATGCTGACTTAATTTTCCAGCAGGACTTGGCACCTGCCCACATTGCCAAAAGCACCAAAACCTGGTTCATTGACCGAGGGATTACTATGCTTTATTGGCCAGCAAACTCGCCTGACCTGAACCCCATAGAGAATCTATGGGGCATTGCCAAGAGAAAGATGAGAGATATGAGACCGAACAATGCAGAAGAGCTGAAGGCCACTATTGAAGCATCCTGGTCTTCCATAACACCTCAGCAGTGCCACAGGCTGATAGCTTCCATGCCATGCTGCATTGAGGCAGTAATTGCTGCAAAAGGGGCCCAAACCAAGTACTGACTACATATGCATGCTTATACTTTTCAGAGGTCCGATATTGTTCTATGTACAATCCTTGTTTTATTGACTGCATGTAATATTCTAATTTTCTGAGATTGTGGATTTTGGGTTTTCATGAGCTGTAAGCCATAATCATCACAATTATGACAAATCATGGCTTGAACTATCTTGCTTTGCATGTAATGAGTCTATCTCATATATTAGTTTCACCTTTTAAGTTGCATTACTGAAACAAATTAATTTTTGCACAATATTTTAATTTTTCGAGTTTCATGTGCGTGTGTGTGTGGTGTGTGTGTGTGTGTATATATATATATATGTGTGTGTGTGTGTGTGTGTGTGTGTGTGTGTGTGTGTGTGTGTGTGTATATAGATAGATAGATAGATAGATAGATAGATAGATAGATAGATTTATAGATAGATAAATTGTTTGGGAGTTCTAAGTAATTTTCTAGCACAAAATACAGATTTTTACATTTAGGAGAGTCCGAATAGGCCTGGTCTTAAAGTGGTTAAGGTAGGAAAACAGGTACTAAAGTAGGGTAGAGGAGAATGAAGGGGAGGGTGTTGACCCAGGAGCTTTGCTCTTTGGAGGGTGTGGGCTCATGCCAGATTCCATAAACAATCCAGTTAGTGCTTTTTAAATTGATTTTTATGATTCTTTCACTAATAAAATTGATTATATTGGTTAACATTATAGTAATACAGTGTTGTATATTTTTGGGAATTATAGATTTAACTTATGTTTCATTTAGAGGTACTGTTGATTGCTACATTTATTTGTATTGGGAGTTTCTTCATTTGATGTTTTATTTTGAAGGTTGTTCAAGTGAGAGATGTGCTTAAAGTAGCATTGAATGCTAAAAACAAAAATGTAAAAAATAACTGCAGTGTTATGCCATAATGTGCAAGCTATGTCAGCAGTACTTCCATCAACACCTGGCTTTCCTACCGGGTTCTGTCTCTTCAGCTGCCTGAATGGCCAGGCCGCGGCGATGTCACTCCCATGCATGCACATGGGAGTGACATCACCACAGCACAACTAGGGTGCTGTAAATGTAATCTGAGCTACATATGTATGGTTCATATTACATTACTGCTTACAGGCCAGGAGAGACATTTCTGAAAGAAGAGATGACTTCTGTTATAAAAACCCTGCCCATTAGTGGTTTTTATTAAATTGACTTCAATACCACTCTGGAACCCACTTTTTTATTTAACAAATAAAGGAAAAGCTTACTTTCATATAAACTAAACTTGTTCTTTGCCTAAGCCTCCTGACCGAAACTAACATATCACCCTCCACTGCTTAGTTATCTGAGTAGGACCACTGTGGACTACCCAAGTATTTTAAATTTTGCTTCTGAAATCTTCTTAATTTTGCCTGCAAAGTGAGCCCATTATTAAAGTGTTACTAAACCCACAATCAGTCTGTATATGCAGTAAAGCATGCTTGTTATACTCACTGTGGAACCTAAGGGGTTAAACCTCTGCATTGAATAAAAAGGTTGTTTGATCCTGTCTTCTCTGCCCCTCCTCTTGTTGAAATGACCACCTGATAAACACTGAACCCGTGGTCATATGTACATGCTCATTTTGGTGTGTAATGCTAGAGAGGTTTTTTTTTTTTTCTTGGGAGGGTGCATGTGATCAGCACAGGGCCAATCAGCACTGTCCAGACAGAGGTCAGAGGTTTCACATCCTCCTAGAGCAGAAAGAAATCTCCCCCTACAAGCTTTTACCAGTTCTCTGCTGAAGCCACAAGACTGCTCTATCTGCTGATGAGAAAAGGTATTTAGCAGTTTATATTTACTAAAATAATTACATTTCCATTTTGTGTGTGCTCTGGGAGACCAGGTATAATGATGCAGGGTCCTGGGTTTAGTATCACGTTAAAACTTACAGTAAACAAGTGTAATAGGCACCTTTTGGGCACCAACATTTTTAGTTTTATTACTCAAATATCTAGGCATATTTTGTATGCAAGTCTACAACCAGACAACTAGCAATTTTAAAAGAAGTATGTAATGGCAGCTTCAATGTTGCCATACAGTATTGTCATTTCTAAACCCTGCTGACAAAATATATATATTTTTGTTCCATATATGTGTAATCAGCCCAAGAAGAAAAATATGTCTGCGTATCAAGTGTTCTCTAAAGAGTATCGAGGCAGCATTATAGCAGAACATCCAGGAATTGGTAAGAAGCATTTACCTGTTGCTGTACAAATCCTGTATACACCAAACGTTTCACCGCAGATTATCTGTGGCTGCTTTTCTCTGTGTTTGCTCAGAAAGGACTGAGAGGATGCAGTCCAGCCAAATAAAGATATAGTGCTCTTTCTACAAAACTTGATTTGCAGTACATGCTGCCATCCTGCTAACACCCAAAATATGTAAATATTTGGTTAATATATACAGTACTGTGCAAACATTATGGACAGTTGTGAAGTAATGCTGACAGAAATAGAAGTGTTAATAGATTATTTTTGTCAATTACCAAAATGGAAAGTAAATTAACAGAAGAGAAATGGAAATCAAATCAATATTTGGTGCAACTACCCTTTGGCTTCAAACCAGCATCAATTCTTCTAGGTACATACCGTGCTTGTGCAGAGTTTTTGAAGGAACTCAGCAGGTAGGTTGTTCCAAACATCTGGGAGAACTAACCACAGATCTTCCGTGGATGCATATAGTTTTCACATAAGATATGTCTAATGAAGACATGACATATGCATACAGTATGCCTAATGGGCATAGCATGGTTGAGTCACTGGTTGTAAGGGTGTCAGCTCCTTAACAACCAATGAGTCGCTGTAGTAAAAGCATCAAATATGCCCCAAGTTGCACTACAAGACCACATTGGAAATCATATCAAAATCGCATTGCACTAGTGTGAACCAGGCCTTATCGGCAAGGCCAAACAAAAAAAAAAAACTTCCTTATTTAATTGTATCATTAGTTTTGCAGCAGCATTTGGCTGGCTCATCTGTATAGTAACAAAAGGGCATATATACAGTATAGAAAAAGGATGTAGGCACATCAGTTTTTTCACTTCTCTCTCTTGTATATAATATCAAGACCTAGTCATATACCCTCTGCAACTTAATGGCAAAGGGTTATGAAATTGAGCTGTGCCCCTTACTTTCAGAGGTGCATAGCTGCTGTAGACGGCACAGATGCATAATTCATGTCTGTGTCAGAAATACTTTCAAGCTAAAATTGAGGACAGTAGATTCTGTGCTTTCATAGAAGATGGCCACCAGGTTTTCTTCCCTTTTACCCTCCTCATGCTTTACGGAGTATAATGCTGGTGATTAAAAGTCAGAAAAAGTACAGTATATTTGTTAATTTACCTGCGAATAAAGTGTATTTCTGTTCTGCTGATCTTTTGATTTACACACCTCTACTTTACTTCACAGCTATTCAGGGGATACTTAATTCCTGGTTCAGCAATGCAGATTTTCTTTGTTGCCTCTCTCTCTTATCATATCACTCACTGAGTATTAAATCAGCTTCATCAGCTCTATCCAGTGAGCAGGAAGCTGCACCAGAAAGTATTTTTTTTTTTTTTTACCAGCAGAGCTGTGTGTTGGGAGAGGTGTGTGTTTTGGTATAATAAAAACTCCTGTAGCAGGTTTATAGAAGCATTACTAGCTGCTTTAAGGGGAATATGTGCCTAGAATATGTGCCAGAGTTTATTTGTTTGACCAGAGCTAAATAAAGAAACATTTTTTAGACAACAATTGCAAGACTTGGCAGCTTCTGCTTTCACAGTTGTAGAGTTATATGTAATGGAAATTGCACAATGTTTGGGATAGTGAATAGTGGGGGTATGGTTTTGTCTCTGGATTTTAATGCTGGAAATCCCTCTTTATGAGCCTTTATTGCTATGGTCTAATTTTGCTACGGAGAGGATCCTTTTTTTTTTTTTCTCTCCAATTTCACTGAAATAGATAATGCATATGTTCTAGTCCATCATTAATCCTGTCTTATTCGTTCATTTTAATCTACTGCCAGACTTTGGAGAACTTAGTAAGAAGTTGGCTGAAGTGTGGAAACAACTGCCAGAGAAGGATAAACTTGTAAGTTAAAACTGTAAAAGAAGGAAGCTCTGCCTGTTCCAAACTTGTATGTTAATTGTGGTTTGTCTATATACTGAATGCTAAGCTCCATTCATCGTGGCTGCAGGTCTGGAAACAGAAGGCTCAGTATCTTCAGCACAAGCAAAACAAAGCAGAGGCGACTACTGTCAAACGAAAGTCTAGCCCAACAGAGTCCACTTCAAAGAGCAAAGGTATTAAAAAAGTGCTTATAGATGTTTGGTTTTCCCACTTCTAGGAAGATGCACATAAGTATCATTTAATATAAAAAAAACATTGCTCAGCCACTCCTTTACTTCCCACTTCCCTTTCAACATAGTTGCTTGGTTGCTATTTTGATCCAGTGACTGCCAACACTTCAATTCACCAACCTAGAACAGCTGTGCAGTCAGTGATGTCAGACCTTATTTCCATAGTTTTTCTGTGCCTCACAAAGAACTGAAGACATTAGTTCAGCATTACATCTAGCATTTTTTTTTATGCATAGCTTTCCTTGAAAACATCAAACACTGATTGTTTAATCATTTTATCACTGGACAATTGTTTTATTTGTTTGGCTCTGGATCTATAAGGTTTAGTCATTCTTGTTCTATTCCGATCATTTGTGTGTGCTTGTTCTGTAGGTTCACCTTCTTCCTCAGGCCTCTCCTCACCCCATAAGAAGTCCTCAAGTAGCAGTCTGTCTTTCTCTTCTTCACCTGCCAAAGTCCCTGATACAGAGCCAATCGATGTGGCAGCCCATCTACAGCTGTTAGGAGAGTCCTTGAGCCTGATTGGACATAGACTACAAGAAACTGAGGTGATGATCAACAAAAACCCTGTAGGTTATTAAAAAAATGGCACTATATTTTATACACATTAATATGTACACAATGTTTAATACTGCAAGCATTAAAGCGCAACTGTGGGAAACCTAAAAATTCTCCCCTGCAGTGGGGCTATGCCTGCATTGAAAGGGTTTAGGTCTCTTTTAGTCCAGGGAACAGTAACCGCACCTTAACTTTACTTTTACATGATCTTCCACTACCCTGGCATATGACTCCCCCCATCCCCCGTGATCCAGTAATGGACTATACCTCAGCATCCTTAAGTATAGTGCAGGGCCATGGACCCTGCATTGGTTTTGATGATGTTCGAGGACCTTAGACCACTGGTGCATGGGTAGATAAAACTTCAGGGACCAACTAGCAGTGCAGAGCAGCCTGCAGGATTGGAGGATTGGGTATGTAAATCTTTTTCCAGATCCCCAAGATAGAAACGAGTAGTTACCCTTTGCAGTGCACAACCTCACTGCCAGGGTTAAATGTTGGGTTTCCTGGAGTTCATCTATAATCTGTGTTGCAGATTGGTAAAGTTGTTTTTTCCAAAATCCTCTTCCAACACAGTACTTGAGAGAGAGGCTCTTCTGACAGCAGTAACAGGAATTGCATTCCCAAAACATTTTTTTAAAAGGCAGTCCTTTTGCTGAAGTGGTCATTTATTGTGTTTCCTCTGTTCGGTGGAGTTGCATCACTTGCAACCTGGTGGTGAGAGGCTTAGTTCAGGATTTCTGTCTGCAGTCCTCCACCCTGTCCTCCTCCCACTTTTTTTTTTTTCATCCTACATTGCCCTCTTCATAGCGGTCCATCTTTGCCCCCCTTCCTCTTTATGACCAAAAAGAGGCCTAGGGCCAAACCCCTTTTCAGTGCCTGGGGAGGGTCAATACCTCTTGGTGTGTTCAGGCCTGGGCCAGTTCCCTTTTAACGACAATAAGAGAAAGTCCCTGCTGGACTACCAGCATGCTTCTTCCAACCAAGCCTTCTGGGGAAGGAGGTGTGCAGTCTGAAAGACAATTTTTGCAACTTTACACTGCTGTACCCCCATCTATGTTCAACACAGGGACAGACCGCACCCCTCGGCAGTGAAACACAGCAGTAACACCAGCAATATGCAGGGAAATTTATAATCTGTTTCTTGTCTCTGGCTGATGGTTTGTGCAGTCTATTCAATGAAATATGGTGCAGCGCATCTCTTCAGCCTAAACCATTTATGTAAAAAATGTATATAAAAATAAATGAACTGTGAAAATTAATACCACAACCTAGTGCTGTAAATCTTGAAAAGTCCTCAACTTAATTATTGTGCATCTTTAAGTAACAAATAAAATGAATAATGATATCGCAATATATATACTGTAGCAAAACTTGCATATGAATAAATACAAATAATATTCTGTTAATTCAAAGTTCATCTACCATACCCAGTGTATCCCACTTATATCCTCCAGGGAAACGTTACGCCCTGAGGAACGAGGTTTGCAGTTTTAAGGCCAAGAGGTATCCTTCAATTTGCCTCTGTATGAGGTTGCTGGGGAAGATTGTGTCCTTGTTCAAGGACATCCCCATTTCTCAATTCCACTCTAGACCTCTGCAAAGGTACATTCTGTCTGTTTGGAACAAAAAGATTCCGGCCCTGGATTACTGTATGTCTCCAGAGGTGCAGCAGAGCCTGAATTGGTGATTGATAACTTACAATTTGGAGAAGGGAAGATCCTTTCGGCCAGTGGTGTGGAAGTTTGTAACCACCGACGCCTGCCTTTCAGGTTGGGGGGCCGTTCTGGAGGACTCCCAGAGAAGGGTGTCAGAGCTGGCAGCTCTATCTTGCAGAGAACCATTTATAGCTTTGCATGATAAGGTGGTGTTGTGACCTCATCAATGCTTTTTACAAAAGGTGGTTTCTAGCTTTCATTTCAATCAAGACATAGTTCTGCCTTCATTGTTTCCTAGGCCTCTGTCAGCAAGAGAAAGATCTCTGCATATCTTGAATGCGGTTCGTGCTGTAAGGGCCTTTCTGAAGGCGACCGCACAGGTCAGGAGGTCAGATGCTGTATTTGTGCTGCCAGTGGGGCCTAGGAAGGGGAAGGCGGCATCCAAGGAGACGATTTCTCATTGGATCTGCCAATTGATCATTCAAGCCTATGGTTTGAAAGGTAAAGTCCCACCCTTTTGGGTGAAGGCACACTCTACCAGGAGTGTGGGGGCTTCTTGGGCAATCCACCATCAGGTATCAGTGGCTCAGGTTTGCAAAGCCGCTACATGGTCTTCGGTTCACACATTCACAAGGTTCTACCAGGTGGATGTCAGAGCCGCAGAGGATTCTGCCTTTGGCCGCAGTGTTTTACAGATGGCTGAGTAGGTCCTGAGAGATTTATGACTGTAGCTATTATGGTATCACCCTCCCCTCAAATTTTTTGATTGCTTTGGGACATCCCATCACAGTTATGAATAGCCTGCTCTGTGTCCCGTGGTGTACGATAAAGAAAATTGGATTTTTGCTACATACTTACCTGTAAAATCCATTTCTTGGAGTACATCACAGGACACAGAGGTCCCACCCCTCTTTCTGGAATTTTCATTGCTTGCTACAAAAACGGAGGTAATTCCTGTATAGGAGGTTTGTTTTTTTTTTAGGGGAGGTTCTCCTCTCCGATTGGTCAACCAGTGTCCATTCACCTATAGGTGGCCTATAACCCACATAGTCACGAATAGCCTGCTCTGTGTCGCGTGATATAGTCCAAGAAATAGATTTTACAGGTAAGTACAGTCATGGCCGAAATTGTTGGCACCCTTGATATTTCTCCAGGAAATCATGTATTTCTCACGAAACGTATTGCATTAACACATGTTTTGCTATACACATGTTTATTCCCTTTGTGTGTATTGGGACAAAACAAAAAAAGGGAGGAAAGAAAGCAAATTCGACATAATGTCACACAAACCTCCAAAAATGGGCTGGACAAAAGTATTGGCACCCTTTCACAACTGCGGATAAATAAGAATGTTACAAGCATGTGATGCTCCTGTAAACTCACCGGGGCAAGTAACAGGTGTGGGCAATATAGAAATCACACCTGAAAGCAGATAAAAAGGAGAGACGTTCACTTAACCTTTGCATTGTGTGTCTGTCTGTGCCACACTAAGCATGGACAACAGAAAGAGGAGACGAGAACTGTCTGAGGACCTGAGAACCAAAATTGTGGCAAAATATCAACAATCTCAAGGTTACAAGTCCATCTCCAGAGAACTAGATTTGCCTTTGTCCACAGTGCGCAACATTATCAAGAAGTTTGCAACCCATGGCACTGTAGCTAATCTCCCTGGTCGTGGACGGATGAGGAAAATTGATGAAAGATTGCAACGCAGAATAGTCCGGATGGTGGATAAGCAGCCCCAAACATGTTCCAAAGACATTCAAGCTGTCCTGCAGGCTCAGGGAGCATCAGTGTCAGCGCGAACTATCCGTCGACATTTAAATGAAATGAAACGCTATGGCAGGAGACCCCCAGGAGGACCCCACTGCTGACACAGAGACATAAAAAAGCAAGACTACAGTTTGCCAAAATGTACTTGAGTAAGCCAAAAGCCTTCTGGGAAAACGTCTTGTGGACAGATGAGACCAAGATAGAGCTTTTCGGTAAAGCACATCATTCTACTGTTTACCGAAAACGGAATGAGGCCTACAAAGAACAAAACACAGTACCTACGGTAAAATATGGTGGAGGGTTCAATGATGTTTTGGGGTTGTTTTTGCTGCCTCTGGCACTGGGTGCCTTGACTGTGTGCAAGGCATCATGAAATCTGAGGATTACCAAAGGATTTTGGGTCGCACTGTAGGGCCCAGTGTCAGAAAGCTGGGTTTGCGTCCAAGATCCTGGGTCTTCCAGCAGGACAATGACCCCAAACATACGTCAAAAAGCACTCAGAAATGGATGGCAAAGAAGCGCTGGAGAGTTCTGAAGTGGCCAGCAATGAGCCCAGATCTAAATCCCATTGAACACCTGTGGAGAGATCTTAAAATTGCTGTGGGAAAAGGTGTCCTTCCAATAAGAGAGACCTGGAGCTGTTTGCAAAGGAAGAGTGGTCCAAAATTCCGGGTGAGAGGTGTCAGAAGCTTATTGATGGTTATAGGAAGCGACTGATTTCAGTTATGTTTTCCAAAGGGTGTGTACAACCAAATATTAATGTTAAGGGTGCCAATACTTTTGTCCAGCCCATTTTTGGGGTTTTGTGTGACATTATGTCATATTTGCTTTTCTGCCTCTGTTTTATATTTGTTCCAATACATACAAAGGGAATAAAACATGTGTATAGCAAAACATGTGTTAATGCAATACCTTTTTTGTGTGAAATACTTGATTTTCAGGAAAAATATCAAGGGTGCCAACAATTTCGGCCATGACTGTATGTAGTAAAAATCCAATTATTTTTATATACATTTTTTTACATAAATGGTTTAGGCTGAAGAGATGTGCTGCGACATATTTTTTTTTTTTCCAATTATCTTGTGCACTATAATGTATCACACAGGTATTGGCAGAATTTTCTTTTTAACCTCATTCAGATTGCTGTTGCAGTGCATGAGTTAATACATATATTGTGTAGTCTATTACCCCTACAGAGATTTCTTGGTGGTTGGCTTTACATGTCCTGGCATGGTTGGCTGCATTTTACCCTTTGCAGGTACTTTTGTGTTTGGGGGGATGCTTTAAGGGTCAGGTTTCATGTGAAACCTCACTGTTTACTCTGCTGGTGGCAGGGTTTGGCTCTTGCAAAGTCCTAGGCCTTCTGCTAATCTTAAGGCCTCATGCATACTGCAGCTCAAAGAAACTGCTCTTTAAGGCATTTGAGCTTTTAGTTTTCTCTGCCTGTTAACTCCCCTTCATGTTAGCCTATGTATCCATGCACAGTATAGGCATTTTGAAGAGTTTAGTAGCAGGGGAGATTACAGGCAGAAAAAAACCCAAGGGGTTTAGGTTTTTTT